AAATCTTTTTAAACGCTTTATAATCCTAATTGAATACACTAATTTAAAGAGTTTAATTTAGGGAGTTTCACTAAAACACCCAAAATGGAGGTTGAAATTATAAAAAAACCCAACACCCAAAACACTTTATAAACACACCCAAAACCCATCATTACACACACTCAAAACCCATTTATAAACACACCCAAAAAGTTGACATTGTGATTGATTTTGGGTGTATTTATATGTTTAAATAGTGCTTGAGTTTTTTTTATAAATACATGTCTAGGATTGGGTTTATTTATAAATTTGTATTTAATTTACCACTACTATTGCAGATGCCCGTAGTATTTAGTATGGTATCCAGACTTAGACCGAGTTCAAATTTCTTAAAACATTAAAGTAGTTTAAAATTTCCTATTTATAAAAAGATTGACTAATGTTCAGCATGAATTCAAAAGCACAAGATTTAACAATTCAAAAAAAGAAAAAAGCACATGATTTAAATACCTTAAATATAAGACCACATTTTAGAAAATAAAAATAAAAAACAATTTATAATATTTAGGGGCAACATTATTGGGATTCATAAATTTATTTTATGAGAAACGGGGCGGGTAGGTGGATACTATCTCGGCCGTGCCATCGGGTTCTTGTGTTCACTGAGGCAGGGGGCACATCTTCTGCTTCTCTCTCAAGTTTTCACCTTGAGCCATCGGGCCATCGAGCATTTTCAATCTCAGGTCGGTCAATCTCGAGCTCTTTTCACAAGGTAATTATTGGTTTTCTTTGATTTTTCTATGTGGGTTTTTGTTAGATTCTTTGTCATTAGCTGATTTCGTTCAATGGGATTCTCTCGTTGCTTCCTAGCTATCATTTACACTGATGGGTTTTCTTTTTCTCTTTTCATTCTTTGTTTTTGTGGAAATTTACGTGACCATGATGGATTGGATTTAGGGGGTCCTGTTTGAGACTATTAATACATGCGATTTAAGGAAAACTATTCTTAAATTTCTGTGTGTTCCGAACCCACAAAAAGAAATAAGGTCAATAGAGTCTGTCTTCACATCAGTTTAGGAAATCGAACTTGTTCGTGTTACTGTTACTGTTAGTTTTAATTTATGTTGATTCGTCCTCTGTTGCACTCTCCTGTTTTTGACTTCAAAATGTGGATCGACTTAATAATGGCGCTCAATTAGTTGTGGTATAGCATAGTTTTATGTTAAGACTCAATCATGAAGTACATCATAAAGTTCCATTCTTTTCTTCGTTGAAGCGAGTAGAATTCATGAATTGATATTAAATACTTTCTCCAAAGTGGGGTTTTCCAGAATAGTGATTCACGGACAAACTCTTCACTTTTCTTTTATATCTTATTGATGAGTTTATACTTTTTGAAAGTATTTACCGAAAAAGAATTTCTAATGTTGAATTAAAATTTTCAGATTCTACTTTATACATGCGCCAAGAACATGAATGAGGGTTGATACAGTGGTTGTGGTTTCATGCATATACATTCATCAATAACTAGCTTGCTCAGACATGGCTGTCGTTGCTTGGTGTTGCATTTTAGCACCATTTAATATGCACCAGCATAGACGCTGTCTTCTTCCAGGTTCTGGATTAGCACCCAAAGCGGGGTGAATAAAATCCAATGGAAGGATCACGAACCCCTTTACTTCCGTCTGATCTTCCAGAATCGACCTCCTCTAATAATACTGGGAGTGCGAATTTTCATGCACATGGAATTCGTGGGTGGTCCGGTATTCAGGGACTGAAGAAGAGAGGTCATGGAAGTCGTTCATGGATACAGATTGATCCACTTGGGAACACAAGCGTTGTGGAGCTTGACAAGGCTACTATAATGAGACATTGTTCTTTGCCTGCCAGAGATCTCCGACTTTTGGATCCTTTGTTCATTTACCCTTCTACAATATTAGGAAGGGAGAAAGCTATTGTTGTTAGTCTTGAACAGATCAGGTGTATAATCACAGCTGATGAGGTTATCCTGATGAATTCTCTGGATGGATGTGTTGTTCAGTACAAGTCTGAATTGTGCAAACGCCTGCAGTCAAACAAAGATCAATCTGGTAAGGAAACTAGTTGTGTGTAATACCTAATGCTTTTTACTCGTACTTTCCACATGTATGCCAGTGATAACCTTTTTATGCCATTCCTAGAAGTATCTAATCTGACAGTAAAAAAGGTTTCCACTAAAACTAAGTGACAACTTGTTTCTTTACCAAAAGTTAAGATTGTCTTTTCATAATATTTTTAATCATTTAAGTAACACTAAATGTCTAATACATTTCTGACAACGAGTCTAATTTGATTCAGATGACTTGCCTTTCGAGTTTAGAGCATTGGAGCTGGCTTTGGAACTAACCTGCTCGTCTCTAGATGCCCAGGTATCCATCTATCTACAGCACAGCACCGTAACTATTTTTGGTACCTGCTGAATTTATGTTTTAGATAATCCTACAAAGTTCTTGCCCACTACATTTTGGAGATATACTTGTCACCAATTGGTAATGTCCTTAGTCATGTATATGTCATCTTTCAGAACTCTATCTATATTGTATTGTGAATTGTTGGATCATACGAAGAAAAATTGAACAATACCAGCACAATGAAGCAGCGATCATCATCAGCGTAAATCAATTACATTAATGAACTTCATCAATATGATAGGTAAAAGAACTGGCAATGGAGATATACCCTGTGCTGGATGAACTAGCGTTATCTATAAACACTCTTAATCTAGAGCGCGTGCGTAGACTCAAAGGGCACCTCCTTGCCGTGACGCAACGAGTTCAGAAGGTAAAACATGATAGAGTATACTTAGTTTCATAAGGTTGATTATTCTGTTGTAGTCGTATGTAAATTTATATTTGCCCTCATTTATTTCTGTTTTTCAATTTTGTGAACTTATAATATTTAGAAAGAAAGGGCCAGCTGGCATGGGGAAGGAGGGGGTGAATGGGAGTTTCTTATTCTTTCATTTGTTATATTACTACATGAATAAGGGTAAAATTGGGTTTATAAAGTTGGTAAAAATATGGGAGGCTTTGTGATAAAAAAACTTGGGTGATAATAGAGCATCGGTTTCTTAATATCTATTGCTTTTCATCCCCTCAATATAATTTCTTTTAATTTATTCAAGGTTCGTGATGAAATAGAACATCTCATGGATGATGATGGTGACATGGCCGAGATGTACCTAACTGAGAAGAAACAAAGGTCAGAGGGTTATCCCCTAAGTGACCTTGGTTTTCAAACTGACACC